TGAAAAAACTTGTGAGAAAGCACCATCCGAACATTTATGAATTCATAACAGCTATCAAGAAGTTTGAATCCACCAACAAGATCACTCGCCTTCAGATTGACCATGGTGCAACAACTCGGCCACGCTCACGAGTTTCACGAGTTTACAGAGATCTTGACCAGCGTCTCAACCGCCTGAGACAACAACTTGAAAGTGGAAGAAGATCACCTATTCAGTTCTTGGACGCAACAGGTCACTTATTGAAGCTTCAATAAACTCAGAAATCCATGAACTCAAGTAAAGTGTACTAGTTAACAGCCAGTGCCATTTTGATTATTGTATTATATTGTAGTATGATTTGCTGTGAATAAAAAATATGAAAGAAAAACATTTTAATGCAAAAAGCCATGTTGTCTACAGGTGCTACTAATCAAATTAAAGGAAAATTAAGGGAGATTCCATTTATATCTGAAGGGGGTACACTTATTACTCATGCCTGAAATAATAGTCACCAAACCATGAATTGTTGTTTTAAGACTGTAGGCGAAATGGGATGTAGGCGAAATGGGAACATGCCATCTGCTGTGAACATTGCATGGATCTCAACATCGAAGATGAAGTTCACATACTATTTTCCTGTCCAAAATATTCTGCACTTCGAATGAAATATTTACCTTGGTTAACTTCTGTTGTGCCAAACAAATGTAACTTCATCAAACTTATTTCTTCTCAAAATCCACAAACAATCAAATTACTATCATTATATTTGAAGCATGTATTTAATGCACGCCGTTATTAATTATAAGTTTTGTTTATTATATCACATCCACGTGACAAAATATAATATTCTGCTGTAATTGTACATTAGGTCATAAGGTCTTTAGTATTGAATAAACTAGTCTGAGTCATATATCTTAATGGAAGAGTGTTACAGAAACACTGGTCGGTGGGGTAGTTTAATGGTTAAAGCGCCCGCTCGTCACTCTTAAAACCTGGGTTCGATTCCCCACATTGGTACAATGTGCAAACTCATTTCTGGTGTCTCCCGCCGTGTATTATTGATTATTTGGAAGTTATCAACTGACTGCGCATTTGGCAACAGTCTACAAAATCACGGAAGCGGACACCAATGAAGCCCAGGCGTTAAGTGAACCACGATGCGGCCCTTGTATTTGTTTCAAATACCATTTGTGTCTTGCACATGTTAACCCTTCAATGAGTCTGACAGTTTAGTTAGGGACCGTCCATAATTTATGGCTAGGGGGGTGATGATGATTTTCATGGAGAAGCATGTACAATGTGAATGACCCTCCCTAAAATTTATGTACAAAATAAGTGACCCCCCAGCCTGTCATGTACAAAATCAATTACCCCCCTTCCCTCCCCATAATTTTAAACATATTTTTATGAACAAAATTGATGACCCCCTGTACGTGTGTACAAAATTGATCTCCCCCAGCTCGCCAGAACAAAATGGATGACCCCCCTTAAAATCACCATCACCCCCCAGCCATAAATTATGAACGGTCCCTTAGGATAGTTTAACTTTATATGTAATTACCTAAAACAAACGTCACATTCAGCCTTTACCACTCAATGTGAGGGGCTGGACGAATTGAAAACATTTTACTTGTTTCAAATGGATTATTTCATTGTGAACCTTAACCTATTGTATGACAACCAGAAGAAGTCGTGCTGGAACACAACTGGATACAAGACCTAGAATGTAACACCTATAGGTGTCAGGACTGACACCACCACTCAGTTTTAACTAAGGACCCATCATAATTATATGTCTTTCAAAACGTTTGCCCATGTGTATCGTAAGAAAACATGATAATTTCGACATCTTTTGCCATAACTGTGCATTTAGTAATCCTACCTCTCTTGTATTGAAAAAATTAAACGCCATGTGTTGATCATGAGGCCACGGAAAAAACGTGTTTTGTTTTCCTCGTTTCTACAGCAGTTCTAGAGGGGAAAATCAAACCTTTTACAATATTCACGAAATATTCAATATTACATTGGGTTTGTATGATGTTAAGAAAAACAATTATCATCATGTGTAACCAGCAATGCCAATGAGCCGATTTACTTATCGACACCACGAGTGTACCATAAAGCCCTAGGTCTTGTACTCTTTAGGAGCCACTAGTCAGCCGAACAGATTTAAGTTACATTTGTATTTCACCAACACTTGTTAAAACCTTAACTAGAAGTCGACTTATCCTTACTTCGAGGCAAGCAAAGTGTCTATTTTCACACCATATAGTGACCAAGTGCCTGCGCGCGTTTCCGTAAACCGAGTGAGTGAGTTAAAATTTAAAGTCACTTTGGCAATATTTCAGCCATTTCGTGTCTAAATCACGTTATAGAGGAATAATAATTTAAAGGGTAATTTATAAAACAAATGTCAACAAAGGATAGTGAAACAACTAGAATATCACAGATATGAATGTATAACTAGTAATTAAATCTAAAACAATTTAACTACAGAGAACAGCACAATATAAAAGCAGGCTATAGATTACCAACAACTGAAGGTAGATCACGATACAAGGGACTTCCGTAAAACGACATCAGCGCTACGACAATCGTCAATTGTCATTTTCCTGAAATAGACTCGCGGCAATCGTACAGCTAAGCTCCTTTAGTTGAAGAGGCGATGTCAGATTAGGACTGGGATTCACAGTATGAGCAAAGATTGAATCAGATGAACACAACACGTGCTGTAGCTGTGTTCAGTGGAGCAATGGAAGGAGATGCTGTCACAGCCGTTGCACAACTATTACCTGTACGACATCATGGGACAGAGTTTGTTCTGTCTACACATGACTATTCCTCTTTAATGGACTCTTTATATATACCAGCTGCAAGTTGTTAGTGACCAGACCGACACAGACATTATGTTGAACAATGGATCTACATTCTCTCTTAGCAACAACCGTGTGTATCGCCAAACCCTCACGAATAACGAGACACTGTATTTTAATACCACAAAACCCGTCATTGCAACCCTGTGTAGAAAACCCACAGACATAAATCATCACGGGTTTGTTGTTGTAACTCCAGTTGAGTATTTTATGAACAATGCACAGATATATAATGCGTACTGTATAAACATACTGACTAAACAACACGTGATGGACATTGAAGTATTTCATACTGACATGACCCCTGCTACATTGGACTGGGTGGACATACCTGGCAGTGATTACAAAGCGGGAGCGAATTGTTTATTCGACGGATACTATGTCCGCTCTATCAACAGATTTGCTCTGTATGGGTTTTACTACGACATTACTAATGGAGGCTACCATTTCCCAGCTGATCCATCCACCACACGTCCTGCTACAGGTAAGTTGTGCGATACGTTGATTCCGAGAAAGAATACAATTTAAGCAAGAGATGGTCGTTGTTATCAGTATGGAGCTGTGACAAAACAAACATAAGTGTACATATTTTATGTATTAGCAGATGTTTCAAATACGCATATATGCCAATAGTCTTCGTGGTTCTTCACTTCAAAAAGATATATACTTTTGTATAATTTCAATTGTAGTTTGAAATGCAGGGATCCGTTTCACAAAGCTATCGTACCGCTACGACTGTCGTAAGTCTATGTTACAGTGCTTAGATTTTCGAAGCTCTCTTAGCGCTAAGATAGAAGTAAGTTCATGTTAATGTATGACACTTACGACTATCTTAGCGCTAAGAGAGCTTCGAAAATCTAGGCCAAAGAACATACAAATGTGTCGATGCATCTCAGATACCAAAGGCTCCATTGCCACAATTGCAACAACTTTAGTAATTGAAGTGTAAGGGGAAATTTCTGTCATCACGTATGTAGTGAATATTCAAACTACGGTCACTGTGTGTATTGGATACTTGCGAGTTTTTTGGGTTTTTTTAATCTTTCTATGTTCATAACATTCAACTGACACCATGGACATGGACACGTTTGATGTTTCTGTGTGACGAAACAAATATTAATGTACATATTTTATGTAGTAGTAGATGTATCCAATACACTTAGATGCCAGAAACTGTCGGCATGATTCTTCACTTCAAAAAGAGATATTTCTAGAGTGATTTCATGAGTAGTTCGAAATGAAGGAGCATAGAAATATACAACTGTGGATCTCTGATACAAACGGGGGGCGGTGGGGTAGCTCATTCACTCACTCACTGATACAAACGGCTCCATTGCCACAGTTATCATCAGTGTTAGGGGAAAATAAATCAAGTAAATTTCTGTCACTGAATAGTTACAATCGTCTTTTTCACATGTTGAATATTCAAACTACGGCCACCATGTGTATTGGATACTTACTATTTTCATGTTGATAACATTTAACTGACATCATGAGTGAAGTGTTTGTGTGTGAAGTGATGAAAGAGGAAGCGTGCGTTCAACGATTAGTTATATCATCTTTCACTTGTTGTACACTTACTCAAAACAAAAATTAATGCACATATTTCATGTAGTAGCAGATATATCAAATACACTTAGATGCAAATAGTGTCTGCACGATTCTTCACTTATATATTGGTAGTTTGTAAATATCTGTCATCACATGTGTATTGAACAGTTACAATGTCTGTTTCACATGTTGAACATTTAAACAGCGATCATTGTGTGCATTGGACACTTACAATGTTTTTATCATATTTTGAATATTCACATCAATTGTTGGTGATCTGTAGCCTGTTTTTTTATTTTGTATTGTCTGTAGTATTTGTCTAATTTTAAAAGTTACTTGCTACGGGTCATTACATAATGGTCATACTATACGGTTATAAGGTTGAGGACACTATTAGCTTCATGTGATTACCGTTCTTAGCTTCATGTCATTACCGTTCTCAGCTGTGGACGTCTCTGCTTCAGTCTTCATTCATGTTTTCACTTTTATATCATGCATAAATGGTCATTACCCACATTTATCAAATATTCAAGTCGCCTGTTTGCCCACGATATTGCCTTGTTTTACTATATGTCACCATACAATAATAATTAATAATTAATAATAATTTATCAGATATTTGTACATTACTTCTATTGAAGTTAATTTCCTTCTCCCCGGAATCCTCTTGTGATATATAATGTACAGGTGTTGCTCCAAAGGTAAGATGATTTATTTCACTTTTATTACATCCAACATAAGCAGTGCCTACATATCTCATCGCCAGGCTTTTTCAGATTGACGGGGTACGGAGTTCAGACGTAGGAGGGCCTACGATGGAGTAAGAATGACAGGGGTTCAGACTAAAGGAGTTCACACTACCATTGGTTCAGACTGACTTGGTTCAAACTGTCGGCATCCCGCCAAATGGGGCTTTAGATTGCTTTGAAGCAGGATTTGATATATTTAGTGATGATTATGATATTAGTTTTATTATTACATTTTAGCTATTAACTATTTCATGCTATCTTCACATGGTTGGTGTCATTCATATTCAGTCAAACATCTACCTGCATTACTTTGGATATATTTGTAGATTTTGGAACTCATCAATGATATAATCAGTTTCAGAAAATCTCGCATTATCCACAGTCAATATTGCTAGCTTAACAGTCAATTCTTGTGAGCGGATATACTGAGCATAGAGAGTTATTCTTGTCCCGATGCAAATATATAAGAATATTTCGTAACCAAAAGCAGCTTTGATATTACGATATAATATTACATGTTTATCTTTCCTTTTCGTAAGTAATCTTTTAAAATAATATGAAACATGTTCTTACTATGTACAATGTCTTTACTCAACATTGCGCAATTATCTGTTGACCAAAATGCCATTTTCTAATCATAGTAGATCCTATATGTTTTATGTACATTTTGTTGTAGGTTCTCCAAGACACATGGGCTTGAAGATGTGAAATGGTTGTAACTTTGAAACCAGTGATGTACATTCGATGTGGGCTTGACGCTGTAAAACCTTACGTATGTGATTGTTCAACCATTGGTGTTGATTAGTTGCTCAAAGTATATAGCAATGACGCATTTCAATGTGTTTGTTTGTTTATTGTTTAACGCCACTCTCAAGTCTGGGCCAGACAATCCAGTGATTGTTGTCATGAGCATAAGTGTATAATAAGTGTATGATGACATACGTCAACCAAGTTGGCGAGCCTTGATTGCTGAAGACTCTAACCCGGATCTTCACGGGGACATGCGGGCTACCGATGTATTGGTTGCTGTCGATATATGATATAAATCATTTATAACGAATTTGGATACAGCAAATAATCGGGATGTGTGGGCACAGATGGTCCAGTTGTCTGTAGAATTCGCTGTACAAATATGTATCCAATGGCGGAACATGCACTTATGATGGTGGGTTCGAATCCCGGTACGCCATCATTACGTTTCTGTGTTTGTAAATATGCCATACCTTGCGTGTGGGTTTCATCAAGGAAATCTGATCCGACTTGAGGAGGAATCGGGTTGACTAGCGCTTAGCTTTAAACGTTATTCTCATTACATCACAATGTACTGTCTTACTGTACATCACACTTTGACTATACCATATCCTACTTTACTGTACATAGTCTTGCCAGTTAAAACATCCTGTGACTGCTAGTCCATGCACCCTCGTCCTGCTACTGTTTGTCTCCAGATTATCACCACTGAGGTCTCGACCTGGAAACTTCGATGCAGATTGTGTAATGGTCTTTTATTGTACTGCTGGTGCTATAACATTATCGGATTACTAAGTCTACTTGTACTCACCCAAGTGGTGATAGTTGTTTGGTCTTTTAACATTCCGTGAGTGATTTGCAATCAAGCTCTGATTACCCCAACAATGAGATGTCACTGGCGTATTTGTGTATTTTAATAGAGGGAGAGGGTTAGGTAGGTAGGTAGGCAAGCAAGCAAGCAAGCAAGCAAGCAAGCAAGCAAGTAAGTAAGTAAATATTTATGTGCGTGTCACGCAGTATACATACATATAGACATACAAACGGAACAGATTAAAATATATACCACCCGGCCAGTAGGCCTATGAGACGGCATTAGGTTCATAAAATAAAATAATATTCCAATTATATCATATTACGAATGTACCTTTACGGGCTGTGTGTAGTAAAAAGTGACAAGCGTAGACATGCGCTATTTACAATGCAAGCTGAAACTTCCTTTATACAGTAAGAAAGTAGATATTGTATTTACGTGTCACAAAATATACCGTCAAATGGACATACAGACAGGTCAAACTAAATATATATATCATCCGGCCAATAGGCCTTTGAGACAAGAGGTATCAGTGAGTTCATAGAATAATGTGATTTCCAGTTATAACAGTGTACAATGTGGATATAGCTTACATTCTGTGTGGTAGAATAGTATAAACAAAACGTGACAAGCGTCAGACGTGCGCTATTTACAATGCAAGGTGAAGCCTTCTCCTTTTATACAGTAAGTAAGAAGATATTGTATTTATCACACAGTATACAATCATATGGACACACAAACAGGTCAACTTGAAATAGGTGTCTCTCGTATATGCGTGGCGGCTGTTGTTCTGAATGGGTGAATAGAGAATACACAATGTCATTTAGATAGTATTACACGTTGAGTGGGTAGACTTCTTACCCCAATTGGTTTATCAAGCAGAAGTATGTTTTGAAGTAGGTGTCGCTGTGGGCACACTTAATTCGCATGTTTGGTTTATCTTATGTGTTGTCTTGATAAACAGAGTTAACAACATCCCTTTGTCTTTGTATTTCTATATATTTTCCACTAACTTCCTGGTACAGGTCGGTGTCACCGTGACCATTGCTTCTTGGCTTGTAGCCATCAGTAAACTCCCTACAGCGACTTTTGGAGATATGGTTTCAGATGCCAGATCTAATGTCATCATTAAGCATTGAGATGTTCACGGGACCTGGTGTATGGTTACTCTCAGACACACTGTGTGTGTTGGGTTGGCTCAGAGCGTCGCGGAGTGTTTTGAGTGACACACGTGAGCCTTATCTATATCTGAAATACGTGTCACGTATACATAACAGCTCCGCGAACTTAGGAATTCTAGTGCACTTAACCTCTCTGCAGGTTTAAGAGCTCAATAGACGTGGTCGGATATTTGTTTTCATTATATTCCATGAGCGAAAGGTTTGGTTGGTTAGCCAATCAAATACCACAAAATCACTTGTAATGTATTTATACCTGATGATGTGTACACATCCTGTCAGACGGAGCGTCGCCGCGGCACTATCTGGTACAGACGAAGCTCTGTGACAATGGGGCGTTTCATAGAGGTGGCGCTACTCCTGGTGGCCCTTGGAAGAGTTGACGGTATGTTGTATGTTGTCCATTCCGTGTGGTGTTAATATGAAATTATTCCGATTGATTTAAATATTTTGTTACCCTTTACCAACGTTCATCTGGAAACGGGTTATTGTAATGGTTGCGTTGTATGCCGTTTTCGAATTGAACTTGACGTGCAAGAAACTGATTCTGTATTGAGTGAGTGAGTTAAGATTTATAGTAACATCGGCAATATTTCAGCCATATCGTGACTTAAAAAGTTATATTTGGCATTTCTGAGAACACGATGGCAGATCTTGCTGCCAAGGCAGCACTCAACAAATCTGTGTCACCACTTCTTATGCCATACTCTGATTACAAAGCTAGCATTAGAACCTACATCCGTGATCTGATGCAGAAGAAGTGGGACACCCAAGTAGTCTATAATTAAATTACATGAAATAAAACCCTATATTGGTTACACCTACTTGGGTTGTCAGTCCAGATTAGAGGAGGTCATTATACGACGACGATGTCGTATTGGCCATACTAGATATACTCATGAATACCTGTTTAAAGGTGAAGATCCTCCGTTTTGTATCCCTTCTGATGAAAGAATCACGGTCAAGCATGTCCTGCTTGACTGTATTGATTTTTCCATCATAAGGGATAAATATTTCAATGTCAAAACAGTTAAGGATCTATTTTATAATATTAATTATCATTTAAGAATTGATTTTTTTAAAGGAAATAGAATTACTTGATACATTTTGAATAATATGTTTTGTAAATAGAAAAATGGTATTTTAAACATGGTAGTATAAATTAGCAACTGCGATTGTTAGTGTCTGTATCCTCGAAGGGGGTTAAAGTATTATTATTGTATACTAGTATACTATTATTGTCCTCCTGAGCGGATACGTATGTTCCAAAACTTTCAAAGCTCAATTTAAACTTCCCAGATTTTTAAAACGTAGTATTTTTGTTCTTTAAAAGTTTAGCTAAATATTTCCTACAATCGCCAGCGGCTGAAGGGATGGTGTAAATCCACCTAGGGTCCATGCAGGTAGCACAGACACTGTAAGTCCCCATGGTCCCTTGTCTGGTGATCTACCTTCAGTTGTTGGCGATCTATAGCCTGTTTTTTATATTGTATCGTCCTCTATAGTTAAACCGTTTAAGATTTAATTACTAGTTTTAAATATATATCTGTGATTATCTAGTTGTTTGACTGTCCTTCGTTGACAGGTGTTTATGATTTATTTGTCAATCATTATAAATCTATAACTTGGTTTAGTCATGATATGGCTGAAATATTGCCGATGTGACTTAAAATCTTAACTCACTCACTCACTCACTAAAAATTTATAAACTGATAAAAAATGGAATTAAATTACAAAACCTGTCGACGAAGGACAGTGAAATAAAAAACTAGATGATCACAGATAGAAAAGTAAAACCAGTAATTAAATCTAAAACATTTTAACTACAGAGGACAACACAAATAAAACCAACCTGTAGATCTCCAACAACTGAAGGTTGATCACCATACGATTCTGTATTGAAGTTGTAAGAGGCTGTTGGCTTTGGTGTAAACAGTACATGTTTTCCTGCATGTTATCATCCCGTGTGTCAATTTTGTAGTTGATTATGAAACTGAATGAAGCCGTTTACCCAACACAGTCAAATGAACGAAACTCCGTGAAAGAGCTTTCCATTGCCTGACAAGGTAGCAATATGTTCGGTAAAATATGGAGCGTGTTGAACTGTCAACACTGTCAATGGAAGACACTGCCGTCTGGGCGATGTAATCAGAGCGTTCATTGTTCTCAGTACTCGTTGTTGTCCTTTCTACGTCACTTGATCATGATTTGTTGGTTAAAAACAGCGACTGCACGGAATATTGGCCTTTAATATTCATAACAGTATATACGGCGTCATTTACAAAGGGTCAAATGATATATACGACATTGATAATAAAAGTTAATAATAAAATAATAGAACTAAGAGTGTCATCATAATGTTTAATGTGTTGACAAACGTGACAAACTGCGGAGTCCTGGAACATCCACTGGTATTGGGTGACGTGTGTACACACGTCGACCGAGTTCATCCCAAACATGCTCAAATGGGTTGAGGTCTGGCGAGCATGCTGGTTACTCTATCCGCTTTACACCCTGCTGCCTAAGGAATTCCGTGTCAATCCTGGCCCTGTGAGGCCTGGCGTTGTCTTGCAGTAAAGAGCGTCGACCATGAAAGCCATGCATAGCTTGCAAAATGGTACTGCTATAGGAACCAGAATCTCGTCCCGATAATGGTGTCTGGTAAGATCACGTGCAGTGGAGTACGTCCTGTAGGGGTTTTCCTGCTCAAACCACGACCGACCCCCATTCCACCCCGTCAAGTCCCCCAACCCCCAAATCGGTTATGCGTGGCGAATATATCCCGGGAGAGCCACATGTATGAAAAACAGAGTTGAAAATGGTGTGGCTCAACCGGCCATGGGCATGGTTGAGTGATCCTGTGAATGTGGGTCTCCCGGCAATGGGCTATTAGCTAATCCATGTTACCGTAAATAATGGTATTCATTATGTACAATCTAGAAATCCAGTTGAATTGTTCGTGGAGAAAAGTCCAGATCACGCAAACTAGCTGCCTCACGTATAGGTACTCAAACACCTTTTACGAATTATTTATGATTATACAACCAATTATTTCTTTGAAGCCTTTTAACTTATGGGACGGACGAAGAAATTCATAGTTTTATCCTTTTCTGATTACTATTTGAGAAAAGGGTTACTGTTGCCTCAGTTATTATGTTTACATTCATTCTAAAACTAAACAAATCATAAATGTATCGAAATAATTTAGAAGAATGACCATTTATTGCACAAATATACTTACGTGACGCCTAACAACTCTTTCCATTTCGAAGCTGTTTTAAGCAAAATCTATGACTAGATTTTCCCAAATCAGTATTTTGCCGTCGTTGCGGTAATGACATTTTGATTTTAAAGTTGCAACGTTCCAATAAATTTGAAGAAAACGTCTTGTCCAAACTTCTCTGCTGATGCAATATACCAATCATACAAACCAAAGTAGTTCACATGAAGACACAAAAACTACAAACACTACGAATACAATTTTCTTAAGAGCAAAAGCTGAAATTGCCCTTTTCTATAGAATGACCCATTAGCATGTATCATTTTAGCTCAGAACTGATTCTATACATAGGAATTAACATAACAAAATACCATAAAAAGATTAATGTTATCATAAAATTATGTTAACTAAAAACTTCATGGAGAATAAAGAAGCCGCCCATCATATGTTAACTAAAGAAACAAAGGACAAGTCACTTAAACAGTTTTAATCCATTGTGATCAATGGGTGACGCTTATTTGAAAAAAACCGGTATTGATTCCCTTACTCATTGTGGCATTCGAGGCACCAAGGTTTTCACTTGAAATGTGGCTTAAGCGGGAATTGGTATTTTTTCAAATGTGGCTTTTCCGGCCGGACACCTGCGTGGCCGTAGTTGCATCTGCGATTCGCCACTGCGACGATAAATCCCCTGCCGGCCGTCATAGTAGAACACACTGAATCTGCTTTCATCTGTAAAGAGCACGCGAGACCATTGGTGTTGATTCCAGCGGCCATGATGTCTACTCCATCTCAAACGCACCTGCCTGTGACGTGGTGTTAGTGGTGGACGAACTGCAGGTCGCCTACACCGGAGTCCGGCGGCCTTAAAGGTCTGAAACCCCGTCATTAAAACTACTCATTTCGACCTTTAATTGACTTAAATCGACCTTTTGACAACAGTGCACAATTCTCACCCGCGAACGAAATTTCAACCAATCAGAGCGGCGCGTCTCTGTGACGTCATATGAGGAATAGCTTTGAGGGCCGATGCAGAATTCATCTACATTTTAGGGGTAAATTATCTTGTTTACAGGCTTGTATAAACCTGAAATCGTGACAATTGTTGTGGAAAATGAAAGCTATATGTTCTCACAATCTACTGTCATTTAATTTTGTCTCCTGCTTTGCCTAGTTTCCGAGTTACAACTTGTTTTCATAGACGATTCTGTCAAAATCGATTGGTGTCGTTAGGCCCTATTTGTATAATGACTGATCTAAATTGATCCCATTTCTGTGTTTTTTTTTACCTCGATATTTAATCATGTCATGTAAAAATCTGTTTGTATTCTCAAAACAGTGTCGGCCCATAAGTTTTCACATGCAATACAGCAATTAATACTCCCTTGTTGTAACCCGTGTTAGGTTGTATAAACCTACACATGTTATTTGTCATCATTCACTTGATGGTCAGGTAATGAATTTATAACAGGTATAAATAGTGGTAACACACTTAGATTACCCGACAAAGGTTCCCATTTGGCATTTCTTGTGTCTGGAGTAAATATTCAACATTATAAACATCGATCAAAGGATTAACCGATAACACGCTGATTGATTAATTACTTTTATCTTACACAGCGGAATTGTCAAAAGGTAGTGTTTATGTATGTAGATTTACTAATCTATACTGAATACACTCTGTCGTGTCGGTGTCTGCGTAAAAACAACGTGCTCCGTTCAAAGGATTAACCGGCAATACATTGATTGATTGCCCATTATTGGCTAACTAAATTACTGTTTTAAAGAAAGGCGGACATTATGCAATTAGTTGCCAGGTGTGCTATCTTGGGTGACCAATGAGACTATACACCAATACCTGAAAAGATTGATCACTTTTTCGTATATTAAACTGTTAAAAGACACATCATTTGGAACAGTTTTGTGGATATTGATGGATACATTCCTCGAACAAGGTAATGGCCTGATATTGTTCCTATAACTTTAATCTGTTTTAATTTTAATATTTGCATTTTGTTTTTATTCATTTGTCGTAGCATTCAACAGAATCATTGTTTTCGCCGTGAAGTGTAATGAGACAGACAACATACACTAGGGTGTGTGTGCGGATTATGATTCACATTGGCAAACTATAAAATGTCTAGCTATTACAGTTCTGTTATAAATTCACTATAAGTATCAGCAGATCGTCTGCTTTTTATTTAGTTTCAAAATGCATACAAGTATGATCACAAACTAATTAGGATTATAAGACCAAATATAAAGACGCACATTGACTAGTATCTACATACTGGTGAGTGGACATTAACCATGTGAATGTAGCAAGAAATTTATCGCGCAGTATTGTAACTTCGACCACCACCTCGCTTCCGTGGAAGAAATCGTTATGTTATAAGTTGTGTCATGCAAAATCCGTTTGGTTATGATTCCAATACATATTTAACTACGAGTAGAAAGTAGTTTTGATTTTCTAACTTGATGAAAACAAACTATAATCTCATTAATTCTAACAGACTTTACGATTTTCAAAAATGGCGGCGCCCTGTCGGGAACATCCGCCAGTCTGAGGATAAATGCTATTTAGATTTTTTTTCACCTGAGTTATAAAATCAAAACTACTTTCTACTGGTAGTAAAATATTTATTTTATTGATGGCCAATAGGATTTTGCATGACATAGCGTATAACATAACAATTTCTCTCCTGGCAGCGAGGTGGGTGTCAATATAATACTACATACAATATTATTGTTACTTCGACCACAACCTCACTTCCGAGGAAGAAATCGTTATGTTACAAGTTGTGTCATGGAAAATCTTTATGGTCATCAATCATATACATATTTTACTACAACTAGTAAGTAGTTTTGATTCTTTAACTTCCGTGAAGCGATCTGAACACAAGTAAGATATCGTTTCAGGCTTCCACAACGCTCGCTTCGCACTCACAAACATAACCCATTTAGCACGAACTGCGGGTCCTGTGGAAATCTGTGCATGGTGACACCATCGCCCGACCCTAGGAGCAATTGACGACAAAGCAACGATTCGACATGTCGTCGTTGATGTCGAGAAATCATCAAAATGATGAGCATGCTACACACTTTCTATACAACTAACTGAAAATCGTTCCTCATATGACGTCACTGCAGTGCTCTGGCGACAGAGTTACGTAACCTGTCTGTGGTTTCGTTGGCGGGCGAGAGAGAAGCAGGCGACTTTTGGCCACTTTTAATCGCTCGGTATTAATTAACCACAAGTTTTTAAAGAATAAATTTGGTGGTAAGTTCTTTCGCATAAGACTAACCACAAATCTTTCATATGTAATGCGTTAAGGAAAAGAGTAACAAAACAAAGCATATTAGTGGCTTTCTCTAACACAGTCTAGCAATAGCACTCTGACTCACGTTAAGCGGACAACAACCTGATGCTGAGTTTCACCAGATTCCCAAAGGCCTATAGCCTGACCCTTTCAGCAAGTGTAAAATATACATCGGATTTTAAGCTGCCCTGAACAGTGAACGACATTGAAAAAGCATAGCTGCATGTGTATTGTCCATCACTTTCCATGGATAGAGCGACTTGCACGTGCAAATCATTGCCATTAAGTGACAGATGGATTTCCACATTGACAATTTGAATTAAAAAAGTGCCTTTTGTAACAGAATGTATCGGACGTTAAAGAACGTATAAATGCCATTTCAACGGCCTGATGTGATTTTCCATACTGTAAAACAAATCAATTGTATATATTTCAAACAAAAACGAAAATTTTACAACTTTTTAGAAGTAGTAATACCAATAGCTTGACACTTCATTAATGACGTCGTGTATATGATGCAAGAACGGAGTATACATGATACAGGGAATATGCATAATTTCTTGGGAAACTGGAGTACTGGATTCGAAATCAAACTTGTTGGGTAGACTCGTAACTAAATGTTGCATAAATTATCAAATGAATCACTCGTCCCCCAAGGTGCGGTTAATAACTGTTATGTGTCAGTGAAATTCATTATGTAAAATTGTTCCAAATATAAACCTGTTGACATTTGTGGCAATACAATGGCTGATGTTGCTGCAAAAGCAGCTGTCAACATATCTGTGACAACACTTCTGATGCCCTACACTGACTATAAACTCTTATATCCGTGATCTAATGCACCAGAAGTGGGACACCCAAGTAGGTGTCAATAAATTACATCAAATAAAAACCAGCTATCGGTTATACCTCCTTGGGTTGTCAGTCCAGGGTTGGGGAAGTGGTCTTAAGATGATGCCGTATTGGCCATTCACGCTATACGCAATAATATTCATTAAAAGATCCTCCATTTTGTATCCCTTGTCATGAAAGAATTACCGTGAAGCATGTCCTGCTTGATTCTGTGAACTTTTCCATCACAAGGGATACATGTTTCAAAGTTTCAAATATGAAGGATCTGTATAGCATCAGTTTTCGTTTGATTACAGGCTTTTAAAAAGAAATTGAGTTGCTTCACTCATTTTGATTATTATGTGTTGTATATAATAAAATATTTTAAGGTTTGGACAAATACAATGATAACTGAGATTTTTTGTGGCTGTATCCTCAAAGGGGATTGAAGTAGTGTAAAGTTCTTGTCCCCTGAGAGGGTACGTAAGACCACGTCATTCACAGTCTATTTATTTGTATTTATGCTTTTAATCGTAGGATATGTGTTAATTTAATTCATGGTTATATTCAACAAAATCGCTAACATCTGAAGGGATGGTATTCAACCAGCTAGAGTCCATGCAGGTAGCACAAGTACTGTAAGTCAACATGGCCTCTTCTACGGTAATCGACCCGTGAAGGTCCGGGTTAGAATATTTGCCTTCAGTAACCCATGCTTGTCGTAAGAGACGACTAACGGGATCGGGTGGCCAGGCTCGCTGACTTGGTTGACACATGTCGTCAGTTCCCAACTGCGCAGATCGATCCTCATGCTGTTGATCACTGGATTGTCGGGTCCAGACTCGGTTATTTACAGACCCCCACCATATAACTGGGATATTGCTGAGTGCGGCGTAAAACTAAACTCACTCACTCACTCCAGGTATGGTAATCTACCTTCAATTGTTGGCGATCTATAGCCCATTTTTACATTGTATTGTCTTTTTTCATTGGAGTATTTTAACTTTGTATGTTAGTTTTATATTCATATCTGTGATTATCTAGTATTTTTACTGTCCTTCGTCGGCAGGTTTTTATAGTTTCTATATATATATTCTATTTCTTAATGTCAAATGTTCTCGTCACGATATGGCTGAAATATTGCCGATGTGACGTTAAATATTAACTCACTCACTCACTGGATTGTTGGGTCCAGACTCGGTTATTTACAGACCCCCACCATATAGCTGGGATATTGCTGAGTGCGGCGTAAAACTAAACTCACTCACTCACTCCAGGTATGGTAATCTACCTTCAATTGTTGGCGATGTATAGCCCATTTCTATATTGTATTGCTGCATGTATAATTATTGTTTTATCATAAATTGCTAATTTTACGCAGTGTGCGAAATAGCCAATGGCCCGCTAGCCCGTGGCTAGTACAAATCCCGTCGGGACAGTAAATCTCACAGTCACTGGCCCGACTGGCTAGTGAATTTCCATGGGGCCATTTTGTAAATATATCACTCTCCGACATGTTAAGTCATAACACACTTTTAAATCATGCAAGATTATGACCTGAAATGTTCATCATATTAGCAAGTTAATGAGGAAACCCGTGTCTACGTTCAAATTTCGGACTAGTGAATCATTTTGTGAGTTATTAACTTTCAGGCATAGGTAGCCCGAATGGCTAGCAAAATTTGCAAACTATTTCTCACACTGGTCTTACGTCATAATCTGTGATAGTCTAGTTATTTTACTGTCCTTTGTTGACAGATATTCATTCTGTCTAATTCTATTTACAACTCTCATAGTCACGATATAGATGAAATAATGTCGATGTGACTTTTAATTGTAACTCACTTTCTGTTTAGGGTCATCAACTGTCATGATACAATCCTCGGAATCACCATCTGCAAGTGTATCAACAAATGTCCCAGCTGTATCTAACAGCCCAGTGACTGGTGAGCAGGAAAACGAAGAAGGTGAGTGAGTTAGGTTTAACACCGCCTTCAACAGCACGTCAGTTATATCAAGGCCTGTCAGCTAAATGACGGAGGACAAGTCTATACTACAGTACGTCAGTTATATCATGGCCTGTCAGCTAAATGACGGAGGACAAGTCTATACTACAGTACGTCAGTTATATCATGGCCTGTCAGCTTAATGACTGAGGACAAGTCTATACTACAGTACGTCAGTTACATCACGGCCTGTCAGCTTAATGACGGAGGACAAGTCTATGCTACAGTACGTCAGTTATATCACGGCCTGTCAGCTTAATGGCGGAGGACAAATCTATACTACAGTACGTCAGTTATATCACGGCCTGTCAGCTTAATGACGGAGGACAAGTCTATACTACAGTACGTCAGGTATATCACGGTCTGTCAGCTTAATGACGGAGGACAAGTCTATACTACAGTAAGTCAGTTACATCACGGCCTGTCAGCTTAATGACGGAGGACAAGTCTATACTACAGTACGTCAGTTATATCACGGCGTGTCAGCTTAATGACTGAGGACAAGTCTATACTACAGTACGTCAGTTATATCACGGCCTGTCAGCTTAATGACTGAGGACAAGTCTATACTACAAAAGGAACAACAATATGCGTTATACTTGAAAAAGTCAAAGTTAATTCATACTGGCGTCTATCTACAGTCTTCTTGGAGGGGTAAGGGGTGGGGGTTGTAAACCATCAGCCGGGAGAGTGAGAGGTAGGTGCTTTGATTCGCTGCCCTTGTCATATCAAAAGACGTTAAAGGATTGTACTTGCTGTGTCCCTGCTTTGATCAAGACATTGCGGGGAAAAACAGAGACTGGTCAGTTCGGAGTTAGTACACACATGGTTCGACCAAAGTGGCCCTAAAATTCACAGAAGTTAGTTTAAACATGTCATTATCTTAAAACGAAATAAAAATGCCTATTAAATCTCAACATCTACCAACGGTGGCAAAGTACCTATCAAGATTTAACTCGGAAGCTAAAAACTCTACTCCATTTAAAAAGCTACAATCATCAGTCAGCCTCAGCTAAACATGTGTGATTCGTTGAAACTGTCAATGGTAAGGAGCCAGCCTGTGCTGTTTGTTATCCTTTCTCAAAACTCACTAACAAATCGTGTCTATTTCTTCCAGGTGTGAGCTACCTGCTGACAAATATTCATACAGTTGTATCAGCAGGAGGGGAAAGCGGGGGATTCTACCTGGTTGATATTCCACAGCTGGGATATAACGTCAAAACGACTGTAGCGCCATACAGCAGGGGTGATACTTATATAGATACGTCTGTAATGGTGACGGTCGGTGTGGAAACCAAGGCTTTCGTAATCCACGTCTTCGGTAAGGACATCAGTATTTCCGGATACAGTGGAGGCAGCATATTTTCTCCCCTCCCGATCTCGGCCCTCGGTTCCAGGTATGTAGTGTCCACCTGCCTGGGTTACACGGACCACGTGGTGTTAGTGATTGCTAACTACAACCAGAAGACGGACGTGGACATAACGCTGATGCTGGAGGGGAACGTCACCTATGACAACATGACATACAACGACGGACACACGATCCACGTGAGTCTAGATGAGTATCAGACCTTCACGTTGAAGAGCGCCTATGACCTGACTGGAACTGTTATCAACACAACACGTGCTGTAGCTGTGTTCAGTGGATCAAGGCAAGGAAGTGATGTCACAGCCGTTGCACAACTATTACCTGTACGGCATCATGGCACAGAGTTTGTCCTGTCTACACAGGATTTATCCTCTGAAAGGGGCCCTGCATACCAGCTGCAAATTGTTAGTGAACAGTTCGACGCTGAAATTATGTTGAACAATGGATCTATATTCTCTCTTGGTGACAGCCGTGTGTATCGTCAAAACCTCACGTATAACGAGACACTGTATTTTAATACCACAAGACCTGCCCTTGCAACCTTGTGTAGATTTGCCGCATCAATATGCTACCATGGGTATGTTGTTGTAACTCCAGTTGAGTATTTTATTAACAATGCACAGGTTTCTGATGCAGAATGTATAAACATACTGACTAAACAACACGTAACAGATATTGAAGTATTTAGGAGTGGCATGACCCCTGTTACACTGGACTGGATGGCCATCCCTGGCAGTGATTACAAACAAGGAACAACTTGTTCTTATGACAGTTACTTTGTCCGCGCTACCAACAGATTCGCTCTGTATGGGTTTTACTACGATATTACCACAGGAGGCTACTATTTCCCAGCTGACCCATCAACCACACCTGCCGCTAGACGTAAGTTGTACGATATTCTGATTTTGGAAAAAGATAAAATTTAAACAGGAGATGTACATACGTTGTTTTCAGTGTAAGATTATGGAATCTGTAGATTTATCGCTTTATTGGAATTACAATGTAGTTAGGCAACGACACCTTAACTGTTGCTGTGTGTCAGAAATATGACCCATATATTTGTTTGATAGATAGAAGGGGGCGTGTGGCGAACATATGTAATACACATAGATGAACAAGAGTCTCTACGAGAAACATACAAGAAATATATTTTGAGTATGATTTCATGTGTCATTCAAACTGCATGAGCGAAGAAATAAGTAAATGTATAACGGGATCTGAGACACGAACGGCTTCACTTCAGCATTTTTCAATAATGTTATTAACTTAAGTTCGGTGGACAATTAGAATAATTCATGCTTAAACTGTGGTCATTATGTGTATCTTGAATATTTACAATATTTGTTCACATTTTGAATATTCTTTTAATAACCAAATTACCGTCACTGTGTGTTTCCTGGATACTTACGATTTATTTTTGGAGATTAAATATTCATATTTTAATAACATTCAGGTCACCATGAGTGAAATGTTTGTGTGTGGAGTAATGAAAGAGGATGCGTGCATTATTTTCAATTCTGTCACTTTCTGCTTTACACACTTACTCCAACGTCTGTCACCCTTTGTCGCTTACCTCTAACCAAGGAAATAAGCTTTCGTCAGTGCTACACCGGCTTATCTACGAAAGCCTAATGCTGCTACATTTCTAGCATAAAATATTTTCAGCGACATCTCGTTGCTTTGATTATTTGGTGCATGGGAGTATTTTCTCGCTTTTCAATTATTTTCGCGTTACATCAAGTATTTTCTCCTTGCATCTAGTATTTTCTCGTTGTTTCGAGTTTTTTTCTCATTGCAACGAGAAAATACTAGAAGCAATGAAAAAATAGTTGAGAAAATAATCTAAGCAACGAGAAAAACAAGTCAATACTCGAAATTTCAAGGGTTTTTTGCAGAAACTTGAAGCAACGAGAAAATATTCGGAACAACGAAAACTTTCGCTAAAAAAATAGCGTATGCTACAAAATTGGCAGCATTAGGCTGTCGTACTTATCTACACTATATGTAGTCAATACTTCACGGGATTGTGTACGCAATACACCTTCAATATTTCACGATTTTGTTCATTTTCAGCACTTTACAGGATTTTAAAACCAATGTATAACAAGCAAGTGCGGCCTGCATACTGGAGATAGAAATGTTTAACACCACATATAGAATTACCCTATCAGTAAACGTATTCAGTGTGGCCAGCGGAAGCTTAACCACAAGGTTGCCATAGTAACTAATATGTTTGTAAGAAATATTAGGTGTTATACAACCGAGAACATTGCATCCATTTATGTAATAGTCATCCTGTCATGCCTCAGGATTTTAGACACTTCTAGCTTTATGTTACTACCATAGCTGTGGATCTCTCTGCTTCAATCATTATTTATACTCTCACTTATATTATCATTCAGTAATGTTGAACATGTTATCTAACAAATATTTGAATTGCATATCATGTTTCAAAGCTTTGTGTTACCTTACCTTGCAATGTCAGTATATGGATAGTATAATTATGAAGTTTTTTAAGCTGAACATTTTTAACACTTTGATCAGTAATAATAATGTATCAGATTGTTGTACATGAATTGAACTGTATTTTCTTCTCTCCACAATCTACTTGCCACATGTAATGTTCTGGGCCTAGATTTTCGAAGATGTCTTAGCTACTAAGATAGTCGTAAGTTAATGTTAATGTATGGCACTTACGACTATCTTAGCGCTAAGAGAGCTTCGAAGATCTAGGCCCAGGTGTTGCTAAAAAGGTAATATGGTAATACAGAAGCAGATCTCATCTGGACCTTCTACACTAACTGAAGCCTGATTCGTGTATTCAATACTGTATCAAGGAATTGGCATGCATTAAGGGGTTTCAGACTGATGTGACCCGGATTGACAAGGTTCCGACTGACGGTGTCCGGATTGACAAGGGTTCCGTCTGACGGTGTCCGGATTGACATGAGCGGTTCAGATTGACGGTGTCTGGATTGACAGGGGTTCAGATTGACGTGATCCGGATACACAGGCGTCCATATTTTCTATTATTTTTTCTTAAACAACTGTTGTATTTTGACTTCATTAAGATTGAGCCATTATTTTTCAGTAATATATTTAATTCTACCATGACTTCACTTCATACGGGATTGTGATTGGTTAATTCAAATAACTCTGGGGTATATAATCACGTTAAATACCTCTGGTTTTCCAACACAGTGTCGATTTTTTAAAAATCTTAATAACGCGGTTATGGTAGAATGGAAATAAACATACTGTATTGGAAAATCAGAGGTATATGACGAAATTATAACAGCTCTATATTTTCTATTTAAAACCTCATGCTACGCGTTCGTAGCTCTGAATTTGATTTAAAACCGAACGCGTAGCATGAGGTTTTAAATAGAAAATTTAGAGCTGTTATAATTTCGTTATTCACCTTATATAACTGCTGGACAATAACAACATGCAGCAAAAGGAACTGATACTCATCCTCGAAACCATTACTTATCTCATATAGTTCACTAAAACTGCAATATTTATCATTCCTATTCATATTAGCATAACGGCCATTTTGTATTTTTAACTTGTGCATATATTCTGAGCATAGTGTGATAAGTCCAAATGTGACATGCCTAAGTATATTTGGTAACCAAAAATAGCTTTGATATTACCTTAAAGAGAAAGTTTTGATGAGTCAGACACGTGGACGATTCCATTCTTATATGTAATTATTTTAAATCATATTTAACCTTTCCCTTATGTTGAATGTCTTTCTTTAAAGATTGCCTGACTATCTGTTGACCTCTATTTGTAGTAGTGGTGGTCCGATTAATTTAAATAATTGAAGATTGGTCGCTGTGACTGAACGACCAAGCAATCCATCATGTGTTCTCATAATCGAGCACAAACAATTTTGAAACTCTTGTTTGCATTAACAATATTTTTCACAAGGTTGGTCTTATCTGTTACATTTCAGAAGCACTACAAGCTCGTTCCTTGTTATGATTGAATTTATCTTAAAGACTCCAGGAAAATGTTCCTAACATACTAGTCATCCTTTAAAGATGTGCAATTTGAAAACACCCCGCAAGAACTACCTGTTTCTTATTTATTGTTTTGATGCATTAATAAACATAACCAGGAATATTTGACAAATGGCGCTAACCAATTATTTTCAATGTTTGATTGGTTGCAATGAACCAATCATCCATTATGAGACTTTAACCAATTCCCAACACTAATTTGTAGTTAATTGCCACATGTTTATATCGTACATTTTGTTTATGTTGTAGGTCTCCATGACAAGTCGCGCTTGAAAAGTCAAAACTTCGAAACCTGTGATACACATTCCACGTGGACTTATGAGAACGTGATTGTTTATCCATTGATTGTTTACTTTAAGAGTATAAGATTAAAACATTTCTGTGTGAGTTTCTTGGTTATTTTACGAAGCACATAAGTCAGCATCAGGCAATCCTCTGACAGACACCCTTTGCATCGATCTAAACACATGGCAGACGAAGACTGCATCAACCAAGTTAGCGAACCTAGACTGCTAAAGACCCACGCACAACCGGGTATGATTGTTAGTACCCAGATATAAGTGTCTCTCGTCAAAGAGAATAAATCAGCTTCAGTTACAAAGAATTTGTAAATGACATATAATCATGGTAGGTACGCATGGGTGGCCCAGTGGTCTGTGGCGCTAGAAATCGCCGTACAAGTATATGTCAAAGGCCTACAAGAATCTTATGGTGGTGGGTTCGAATCCCGGTTTGCCCTGATTATGTTTCTGAGTTGGCTCAATATGCCACACCCATGCACGTGTGTCTCACCAAAGTGGTAAACATCTAGCACCTGCATCACTTCGGGTTTTTTCCTACATCAAGCTGACAAGCCGTTAAATAACTGAAATACTGTTGACGACGGCGTGAAACCAAACACTCACCAGCCAAATGTGGTTAAATCATGGCGGCGGTTAGACTCGGCAGTCGAGTGACCAGAGCAACGATACCAGCCAGCTGACACCAGCGTTCAACGAAGCAAATATAATTCGTTGGTATGCATTCAACCGTGTCACTGAAAGTGTAATGACAACTCCCTAAATGACCGTGTGTAATCATGCCTTCATAGTAACAGATTTATCTTCATGGCGCAGTGTTACAAAATCATATCATTATCATTCTAGACAAGGGCCGGTGGGGTAGCTCAGTGGTTAAAGCGTTCGCTCGTCACGCCGAAGACCCGGGTTCGATTCCCCACATGGTTACAATGTGTGAAACCCATTTCTCCTGTCCACCGCCGTGATATTGCTAGAATAGTGCAAAACTCGGCGTAAAACCTCACTCACTCATTTTAGAAAAAGAGCTCCACATGTCAATACCAGAGATCAAAATTGATAACATGAGCATATTTCCGAGAACAAAATCTGTTTTTCTCTCACATGAACACATATTCTCTTTTCAATTTACAAATATAGCCACCAGAGAAAGCAATTGTAACAAACATAACTAGATTTACCTCAATAGATAGTGTTTTCAGGTGTTATCGATGAGGAAAAAGGTACCTGGTAAACTTGGTATCACCCTACAATAAATATGCAAATGAGGTCACCTAGCAGGAACTACATTTAACAGTCATATATCACTGCAGTGTGTGCTAGCTTTATCAGATACAGACTAACGTTACCAAAACATTTCATGGTGTTTGACTGAATGTGGCTGATTCTGTTGCTACAAAAAGTTGTTTAGCTGAAAAGAATAAATGGGACAGTTTACTTTGACATCATATTCATACACAGTTTCTACACGTATTTCATCGAGCGGCATTAAACCTTAAACACGACTGCTTAAAGATGATAACAGTATCAGCTGAGTGTGTTTCCGTTCTGTAAATATCAAATATATCTTAAACGTCAAAGCCAGAGTATAACCAGCATTTGAAATCCACCAAAGCAGAATCTTTCAAAAGGTACAATTATACCAAGGGATCAAAGGCCTTCATAGTTCAGTTGGTTCTGATAGTTTATGTGGTACGGTAACACAAAAGGCATTTGTATCTCACAAATGTCTGGTGTGTAATAATTGATCTGATATAAAGTATATTTGGTACGGTAACACACGAGGCCTTTGTATCTCACAAATGTCTGGTACTGTGTATTTATTGATCTGATATATAGTATATATGGTACGTTAACACACAAGGCATTTGTATCTCACAAATGTCTGGGTGTGTATTTATTGATCTGATATAAAGTATATATGGTACGGTAACACACGAGGCCTTTGTATCTCACAAATGTCTGGTGTGTATTTATTGATCTGATATAAAGTATATATGGTACGGTAACACACGAGGCCTTTGTATCTCACAAATGTCTGGTGTGTATTTATTGATCTGATATATAGTATATATGGTACGGTAACACACAAGGCCTTTGTATCTCACAAATGTCTGGTGTGTGTATATATTGATCTGATATAAAGTATACATGGTGTCGGTAACACATATGGTAGGCCTTTGTATCTCACAAATGTCTGGGTGATCTGTATTTAACACACGAAGCCTTTGATCTGATATAAAGTATATATGGTACGGTAACACACAAGGCATTTGTATCTCACCTTTGTATCTCACAAAGCCTTTGTCTGGCAAATGTGTATTTATTGATCTGATATAAAGTATATATGGTACGGTAACACACGAGGCCTTTGTATCTCACAAATGTCTAGTATATATGTGTATTTATTGATCTGATATAAAGTATGTATGGTACGGTAACACAAGAGGCCTTTGTATCTCACAAATGTCTGGTGTGTATTTATTGATCTGATACAAGTATATATGGTGCGGTAACACACAAGGCCTTTGTATCTCACAAATGTCTGGTGTGTATTTATTGATCTAATACAAAGTATATATGGTACGGTAACACACAAGGCCTTTGTATCTCACAAATGTCTGGTGTGTATTTATTGATCTAATACAAAGTATATATGGTACAAATGGTAACACACAAAGGCATTTGTATCTCACAAATGTCTGGTGTGTATTTATTGATCTGATATAAAGTATATATGGTACGGTAACACACGAGGACTTTGTATCTCACAAATGTCTGGTGTGTATTTATTAATCTGATATATAGTATATATGGTACGGTAACACACGAGGCCTTTGTATCTCACAAATGTCTGGTGTGTATTTATTGATCTGATATAAAGTATATATGGTACGGTAACACACAAGGCCTTTGTATCTCACAAATGTCTGGTGTGTATTTATTGATCTGATATATAGTATATATGGTACGGTAACACACGAGGCCTTTGTATCTCACAAATGTCTGGTGTGTATTTATTGATCTGATAGAAAGTATATATGGTACGGTAAGACACGAGGCCTTTGTATCTCACAAATGTCTGGTGTGTATTTATTGATCTGATATATAGATATATGGTACGGTAACACAAAGGCTTTGTATCTCACAAATGTCTGGTGTGTATTTATTGATCTGATATAAAGTATACAAGGTCTTTGTATCTCACAAATGTCTGGTGTCTATTTATTGATCTGATATAAAGTATATATGGTACGGTAACACACAAGGCCTTTGTATCTCACAAATGTCTGGTGTGTATTTATTGATCTGATATATAGTATATATGGTACGGTAACACACAAGGCCTTTGTATCTCACAAATGTCTGGTGTGTATTTATTGATCTGATATAAAGTATATATGGTACGGTAACACACGAGGCCTTTGTATCTCACAAATGTCTGGTGTGTATTTATTGATCTGATATATAGTATATATGGTACGGTAACACACAAGGTCTTTGTATCTCACAAATGTCTGGTGTCTATTTATTGATCTGATATAAAGTATATATGGTACGGTAACACACAAGGCCTTTGTAGCTCAGAAATGTCTGGTGTGTATTTATTAATCTGATATATAGTATATATGGTACGGTAACACACAAGGCCTTTGTATCTCACAAATGTCTGGTATGTATTTATAGATATTTTAAAGCTTTTTTAAGACCCATAATAACAATATGTCTTTCAAAACGTTTGCTCTTGTGTATCGTTAGGAAAACCGATTATTTAAATTCATTTACTACATCTTTTGCCATAAGTCTGCACTAAGCGATCATAACACGTTAAAGGTCACGTGTTGATCTTGAGGCCACGGATAAGTAATGATAATATGTTTCCTCGTTTCTAAATATAGCAACTATAAGAGGGAAAGTCATACCTCATTATCACCAGTATGTCAGAAATATTAAATATAAAACTGTGTTTGTATCATGTTAAGAAGAACAGCAGGTGTAACCAGCAATGCCAGTGTTCATAGAGGTGGCGCTACTCCTGGTGGCCCTTGGAATAGTTAACGGTATGTCATATTTTGTCGAATCCGTACTCTTTAAAACAATTAGGGTTTTCTTGAACTTTTTCTGTACCCTTTAACTACGGTTCTCTATGAAGGGCAAAAGTGGTGTTTTAAACGGTTTTCCTGTATGCTTTTCCTTCACCAAACCCACGCTTTTACCCGTATTAGATTCCCCTGATGGTGTTCCCAGCTGTATTACACGTATACCATTGCTATGAACATTCAGCAGGCGCGTAGCATGCTAGTTTTTCGTGTAAGCCCGATAGGTTTGTAGTATATTTAGATCGTATTGTATTAGATAGTATTGAGGGCTTTCCTAACTTTCATGGTGATTTTGTCCAAAATCATGTGTAAGCCCAGCTTTCTTTTAATTGGTAGCTACGACACTGCCCAGCACCGATATGCGGTGTTGTAGTATATTGTGTCTACGCTGTAGTCCGGAGATGGAATTATATGAGACCGTTGACACAACGCTGGGAAGTGAAAAATGAACGAAACTGTAGTTGTACACGTTGTTGCCCTTTCACCATCACTTGATTCGTTGGTTTAAATTCACCGACGATTGATGATGGAAGAACCGAGTATATATAGTATGATACAGGGATTATGGGAATATGTATAGTATGACCAGAAATTATTGAGAATTTTAGGAATATGTTTAATTGGATTTCTAGTATAAACAACCTTGACCAGCTATCAAGTGCTTGGTTTCATTCAAGAGAGACAACTCCGTTAATAATTTTTCATTAGTTTGTGAAGAGTTATCCCCCTTTGTTTACTTGCTAGCAGACGACATTTTCAGTGATCCTCAGTATGGATGATTTAGAGAAGAGGAAGTTGATTTTAGAGTATTATAACAATGACATCAGATCAGTTAAAGTGATTTCAAGTAGAACAGGCATCCCTTTGTTTTGAAAAATATTGCAAATGGATATGGCATTGAGCACCAGGGAGGCGCAGGTATGACCAGAAAATTGACTGTCGGTGACAGGGGACGGCTTGGTATTCTTGTTTCCAAAACAGACGAAGGAGTTTAGAAACCTAAGGCTGGATATGATTGATAGAGGAACTGTGGCTGTCTGTAAGGAGACAATTAGAACTGAGCTGCATGCAATAGGTTGGCAGAAAAGTCGAGGAATTCCATCACCGATCATGAAACCTGAACAAAAGGAGCGAAGGTTGAACTGGTGCTTACAGTATAGAAATTTTAACTGGGGCAATGTGATTTTCTCAGATGAAAGTTATGTGTGGCTGTTTCCTAAAAACTGAAATTCTGGACAAAACAAAATGAAAAAACTTTGTATCAGCGCCCAAGTACAGTCCGAAATTTAGATCAGCTAAAGTGATTTCAAAGTAGAACAGGCATCCCTTTGTTTTGAAAAATATTGCAACAAATGGATATGGCATTGAGCAACCAGGGAGGCGCAGGTAGGACCAGAAAATTGACTGTCGGTGACAGGGGGCGGCTTGGTATTCTTGTTTCCAAAACAGACGAAGGAGTTTAGAAAAACCTAAGGCTGGATATGATTGATAGAGGAACTGTGGCTGTCTGTAAGGAGACAATTAGAACTG